CCACTACTATTAATAAGTTGCAACCAAGGTCATCTTCTTGTGTGTTTCTTGGGTACCCCACTAACCACCGTGGTTATAAATGTTATGATATGTCAACTAACAAAATCATAATTTGTCGCCATGTTTTATTTGATGAGCATACTTTCCCTTTTGCTAATGTGCATACTCCAAATTCACATATGATTTTCTTGATGACGGATTTTCTTCATATGTGATCCAATATATGCAACAATCCTCTTCTTCTCCTGAGCCCAACTCACCTATTGGGCCTCTTCATTCCCCAGCCCAGCAGGTAACTCCTACTCCCTCTCCACGCATCACCGTGGACCAGCAGCCCACGTGCTCTCAAATGCCACCTACCCAACCGAATTCTCCACAAATGCCTTCCCCAACTAGGCCCATTCCTTCATCAAGCCCATTTTCTACCTCACCTCAACCCCAAACACGTACTGCTCCCATCATTTCACATTCTTCGCCAATTTCTGCTTCCCAATCTAGAGTTGTCACACGAAGCCAACATGGGATTTAAAAACCAAATCCGAAGTATGCTAACTTACATACTACGGTTGAGATGTCTTCTTTACCTAGAAATCCCATTGACGCTTTACGTGATCCGAATTGGAAAATGGCCATGGATGATGAATTTGATGCTCTTATTAAAAATAAGACGTGGGATTTGGTGTCCCGTCCTCCGCAAGCTAATGTGATTCGGTCTCTGTGGATTTTTACTCATAAAGTCAAATCTAATGGTGTGTTTGAGAGGCATAAATCCCGTCTTGTAGGTGATGGTAAAACACAACAGGTTGGCATTGATTGTGGTGAGACATTTAGTCCGGTCGTCAAGCCGGCAACGATCCGCACAGTTCTGAGTCTTTCACTATCCAAGGCATGGCCAATTCATCAGTTGGACGTTAAAAATGCTTTTCTTCATGGTGAGTTACAGGAAACTATTTATATGCATCAACCTTTGGGTTACAGGGATCGTGACCATCCAGATTATGTTTGCCTATTGCGTAAGTCATTATACGGACTTAAGCAAGCCCCCCGAGCTTGGTATAAGCGTTTTGCAGATTATGTCTTATCTATTGGGTTTACTAACAGCACAATGGATAATTCACTATTTATTTATCATAAGGGGAATGATATGGCATACATTTTATTATATGTTGATGATATAATTCTCACTGCCTCTTCTGATAGTCACCGGTGTTCTATTATGGATCATCTTGCCTCTGAGTTTGCTATGAAGGATCTCGATCCTTTGAATTATTTTCTGGGTATTGCTGTCACCCGAAATAAGGGAGGTATGTTTTTGTCTCAATGGAAATATGCCGAAGAGATAATTGAGCGAGCAGGGATGTCTTCGTGTAAACCATCCCCTACTCCGGTTGATACGAAGCCTAAGGTGAGTGCTACAGCTAGTACTATTTTTGACAATCCCACTCTATATCGGAGTCTTGCAGGGGCTCTACAATACCTTATTTTTACCAGGCCGGATATTTCTTATGCTGTTCAACAGGTCTGTTTTCATATGCATGATCCCAGAGTTGATCATATGACGGCTTTGAAAAGAATTATTCGGTATGTTAAGGGTACATTGGAGTACGACCTCCATTTATATCCATCTTCATTTTCTACTCTGATCTCATATACAGATGCAGATTGGGGTGGGTGCCCTGACACTCGGCGTTCTACTTCTGGTTATTGTGTATTTTTGGGTGACAATTTGGTTTCTTGGTCGTCCAAACGGCAACCAACATTGTCGAAATCAAGTTCAGAGGCAGAATATCGTGGGGTGGCAAATGTTGTTTCCGAGTCTTGTTGGCTTAGGAATCTTCTCTTGGAGTTACATTGTTCGATTAAAAAGGCTACACTTGTTTATTGTGACAATGTAAGTGCTATTTATTTATCAGGAAATCCAGTTCAGCATCAACGGACAAAGCATATAGAAATGGATATTCATTTTGTCCCGGAAAAAGTTGCTCGGGGTGAGGTTCGAGTGCTTCACGTGCCTTCCCGACATCAAATAGCTGACATCTTCACTAAGGGTCTTCCTCTGGTATTATTTGAAGATTTTAGGGACAGTCTCAGTGTCCGTGGCCCTCCCACTTCGACTGTGGGGGTGTGTTAAATATAGGATAAATATTGTGCATATCTTTTGTAGTCAACGTATATATATAGTTGCCTTGTATTTAGCCTTATAGCTAGCCTAGTATCAAGCCTTCTGTTAAGGCATTACATTGTATTTATTGACGTTTGATGAATGGCAATATTCAAGGAAAATATTCTCAAACACTTTCAGGTATCGTGATTCGTGAAGTAAAGGTAGATCGCTGACGAAGATGACATCACCATTATAGAGTTTATATTTGTGAAGAAGTCGTTCGATTGAATTGTAGAGTTGCAGGAAATTAAACAGAGGAAGAAGTAGAAAGATTATAGTAGCGTGAAAAAGATAGATTTTTTAGCCGTTGGATTGTTTTATACCAAGGGTCTCGATTGCTTCTTATTCTTCCTATTTTAAGGTCCTTCTCATTGGATCCTAACTATATATATATGAGGCGGGTACGAAATAGGGCTGGGATGGATGTGAGGTGGGAATGAGGCGGGTACGAAATAGAGCTGGGATGGGGGTACAATATAAAATTCACCCCTATCCCATCACCTATAGGCTATGGTGGGTATGATTTTTATCCCATGGGGCAAGGCTGCGGGGATGGGGTGGGTCTCCTCCTTCACCCACCCCACGAACATCCCTTATCATAAAGATCTAAAATCAAGATGTTAAAATTTAAAATCGTATAATCATAAAAACTAAACATCAAATCAAAAATACAACTTAAAGGGAATTGAACCAAAGTTGCAGTATATAAGGATCACTGCTATAAGTATCAAGGTTATTTATTTATTTATTTATTTTTTGAATAAAGAAGAATCAAAGCTATGAGTTGATTATGTTTGGCAATGAAATAGATATGAAAGCTGAAAATACTCAAGTAGCGTGGATTGTGACGAGGACAAACATGAGCGTAAACAATCATTTCAGCTTAGAATAATGAAGGAAAATATAGAAATCATGAGCACAAGAAAAACAAAAAAATAAAATAAAAATAAATAAATAAATAAAGCAATGATAGGCCCTATTCAGTTCACCTTAAATAATAAATAATATTTAGTAAAATTAATGTCAGTTCGGTAAATATTATTTTAGTTCAGGAAAAATAATTTCAGTTTAGTAAAATTCAGTAAATGTATAGAAGAAATAAAATAGAGATTCAGTAAAAATAATTTCTATTCAGCAAAAATAATTTCTGTTCAATAAAATTAATTTCAATTTTGTAAAAATAATTTAAATTCAGCAAAATTAATTTAATTCAAGTAAAAATAAGTTTAATTCAACAAAAATAAGGTGAAGTAAATAGGACCTTAAATCAATTAATCTTAGATAAAACTTTTTAAATCAATAATGGTTTGGACTTTCCAAAATTACTCATTATTTCCTATTCCGTCTTATTTAGCTCCACAATACCAATTAGATAGATTCCTTGCCTCAATATTTTATACGAGTAGAAATAATATAAAAATATCTTAATTACTTTCTACTTGATCATTAACACAAACTAACAAGATAGAATTTTTATAAATTTCATAAACTAAAGTGGTATTCTATTAGGATTGGGAAACACCATAATACGAATTATGTTATACGAGTACTATAAATATCTAATAAGAAGTATTACATACATAAAAAATTCAAGAAATTAACACAATTTACACAAGTATATAAATTTATACATCAAGCCCTTTATACTTTAGTCATCACTAGCCTTTTCTTCAACGTAAACACCTTTGAGGTACGTGTATGTCCCCTCTACTGTTGATTTTTTTTCCCTTGACATTGTTCATATCTTTTAACTTAAAATATGAAGATCATAACTTTTGTGAAAAAAGTAAAGAACATTCTCAATCATATAATTTGTATAATACTTAGATGAAAGTTTTTTATGATCATCGATCAATAAATAAGAGTTTTTATTTTAATTTTATTTTTGATACTTGAGGAATATCAAATAAGACGGACAAATTATTTTGTTTTATACCAAAAAAAAACAATTATAATCACCAAAAATAGAGCTAGAAAATACGTGTATAAACATGGTAAATTGTGGTGAATGTCTTGATTAGCATTGTCAAGTTGTGGAAGTGTATAAAGTATGAACTCATCTCTATAAAACCTAGCCTAATTAACGTATAGATTATTAAGTTATTATCAACCCTATTTCATTAAAAAAAAAAAAAAATTCAGTTAGGGTTCCTCATGCATGTACAATACCTAAAAATTTGTGAAAGTTAAATCTAACTAAAAAATCACACGATAACTAAATCCAGCTTAAATAGTAGTTTGCAATAAAATTAAAAATACTCTAAGATCTTAAGATAAAATTTCAATTTTCGTCCTAAGTTGTGTAGCTATATGCCAATATACGAAGTATAGGATTATTTGGCTACATACCTTGTACACTTTTTAATTTTTTCTATTTTTTTTTTCTCTGTAGTTAATACAATTGTAAGATAACTAAAATCATATTATAGCAAAAGTCGTAAGGTAGAAGCTCTATCTTTAAAGAGAAAACATATTTACAATTAGACTTTTTTATTTTTATTTTAATAAATTACGGAATTTATCCCTAGAGACTAAGATTTTAAAAGTAAAATCTCACAATTTTGATTTTTTCTTTGTTGGTAAATAAATTTGAATCCTTTTATATTCATTTTATTTTCTTTCTTTTCTTTACTATTTATACGTATTACGTAATTGGTGAGGGTTGAAAAATTATGTACAACATTTGAGCTTTAAACAACAAATTAAAAAAAAAATGAAGTTATTACTGGTGTTTATTTGTCAGTAACTTTTTAAATTTTTTTTTTTGGTGTATCAGAATTAATATTTTGTAATGGAGCTTCGAAAGAATACGACCATTTTTTTCATATTTCTTTTAATGGTGCTTGGAAATGCCAATGCAAGAACACTTCGGTACGTTACTTTGTTTATTTTCATGATAATAATAATTGTTGAGCTTAATTGTCACTGCACGTGTCCAAAAAAAATTGTCTAAAAATTTGTTTTATTTGGACCTCGTGGCAAGCCTGAATATCTATATTGAAAAAAAAAATCTTTACATAATTTTACCTACATTATTCTACCTCTTCAATTAGCAATTTTTACTGATGTTTCTTATTATTTAATGCAGTGATATGCCGAAGAAAATCAATGATAATAGAGGAACAAAAGACGTTGCCAAACCCGTTGCATTAAGCATCAATGAACAATATGTACGTCATAATATCTATATCTATTCTTTTTTTTTCGTCTTTGGTCAACTAATCAACAATATGTACGTTAAAACTATTTTAATTTTTATGTTTTTACTATTTTTTACGCCAAAAAATAAAAAATAAAGATAAAAAAGAGACAAATAACATAGTAATACTTAATTTCAAATATAAACTTTTGCATGTATTATAAATATTCATTTACTTCACCTTATTTTTGCTGAACTAAAATAAATTTTACTTAATCGAAATTATTTTTGCTGAATTTAAATTATTTTTACTCATCTAAATTTAATTTTGCTGAACTAAAATTAATTTTGCTGAACTAAAATTATTTTTACTGATTTTCTACTATATTTCTTCTTTATAATTGCTGAATTTTATTGAATTGAAATTATTTTTATTGAATTGAACTTATTTTTAATGAAGTGAATTTATTTTTATATTACATTAATGTGTATTCTAATTTAATATTGTTATTGATTTAGGCTATTATGAATAACGGAATTGTAGAAGTAACTCTAACAATCCCGGAAGGCCACATGGCTGGAATTCAGTACGGTGGAATGGAAAATGTACTGGATTCTAGTCGCAAAGTAAGCAGTAGAGGGTGAGTTTAATTTTCGCAAATAATTTTCATTAATATTGTAATTTCATAATTTTCATAATTTTTAATTATATTGGAATTTGATATATATTTCAGGTATTGGGATATTTTTTGGACAATGAAAGATTTCAACGGAGAGGATTGGTAAGCTTAACTACACTAATAATTGATTAACTTATTATTTTCACAATAATATATATATTTTTTTTCATTTATGCAAAATCACAGTTTTGAAATAATATATTTTTAAGATGAAATATTACGATTGTTGAGTAGACAACGGAATAAATTTAATGATGTAGAGATTGAATAGTATAAATTAATAGATTTAAAGTCAAGATAAATAGTAGAAAGAAAATGGACCCAAGATACCAACGAGTACTTGAAAGGTTGAGTGGTACAAGCATAATCGTAAAGGAGTATTACAAAATAAGAATAATGGAGTAGAGAAGGTAGATAATTTATAAGGAGGGTAGATAGAGAGAAAGACTGGTGTATAGATATGACTTCTTGTGTTTATGTCTTGGTTGAATGCCCATGATCAATATTTATGGTTGAAGATGGAGCTTGGAAGAAATGTCCGGAAAATTCCAAAGCTTTCTTCATAATACAAGTAGTTATAATATTCTAGAATGCTCACAAGTCATATTTCTAATTGCTTCCAATGTCAAGAATTCTTTAGAATATTTAAATAGATAATTTTAGAGAAAACATAAACAAATACATATTAACCTTTGTTTGATTTTTCAAAAATTTTAAGAATATACATAAATACTCCACCAAATAATTTTTAGTACACAAAATTTCATATACTCGTATTTAGAGGTGCTTTTGAGAATGTAGGAGCATAGGCAAAAAAAAAAACAAAAAAATAAAAACAACGTAGGAGCTCTTTCATACAAGCATTATATTGATATGTTATTCCCTACATTCCATGATTTTTTAATTTTGAATATTAATTTTTCTATATATTCATCAATTGATAAAATAATTATAGAAAAAATTATTTTGAGTAACCAACCCAAAAATATTTTACATATTATTATTCAAATTTCATTTATATATAATTGAAAAATGTAATAAAAAAAGGTTGATGATTTAGTAGGTTAGAAAGTCAAAACAATGCATGATTATACAACGAAGGTATGGAGTAGTGTATATGATGTGCTTAGCTATAACAAAAGATTTACAAATCAAATTCTCATAATTATTTGATGATGCAGGTTACATATGGAAAATTTCAAAGTAATAACGCAAGATGACGATAAAGTAGAACTTTCGTTTTCAACACAATGGAATGGAGGTCAAAATTCAATTCCAATCAATATAGACAAGAGGTATACGGATTAATGCTTATAAAAAAATAAAAAAAAATAATAAAAAAAAAAACAAGAAATTGTTTGTTTTTGGTTTCGTAATTTTGAACTTTAAACTTATCAAATGTATAATTGATAACTAAAAACTAAGGTTTTTTCACCATATACCCTTGAGTTTTTTTTTTTATTTTTTTATTTTATTTTTTTATTTTTTATTTTTTTATTCCATAAGCGGAATTTGGTTAATTATGCTTTAAAACCTCTTTAGATCTCTCTCCCATCCCTAAAACCACTCCTCTTTTTTCGCCAACCCTTGAAACCACTCCAAATCTCCACAATCATATTAATATGATTGAGTTTGAGGATGATAAAGGAAATTTGGGTTTTTTTAGGGTGGGAAAAAGGAATGTGGGTGATTTTGGAGATAGAGAAATGTATTTTGGGTGGTTTGAGTCATAATTAACTCTAATGGCTGATGAATTTAACAATCGTTAGTCATCAAGGGTGTGAAGTGTATTTTTGTGAAAACTCGAGGTATATAATGAATTTAAAAAAAATTCAGGGGTATATAGTGAATAAGCAAAGGATATATGGTGAAAAAACTGTAAGAACTACTCTATGTGGTTTCCAAAAATTGACAAAGTATTAGCAAGACTAATTATGTGTAATACTCGGATATTGTAGATTTGTAATGCTTCGAGGGTCATCCGGCTTATACAATTATGTCGTCTTAGATCATGATCAAAGTTTTCCCGCTACAAAACTTTCTCAAATAAGAGTAGCCTACAAACTTCCAGACAAGTAAGAAGATTAAATTTATTTTCTTAATCACTAATTTAAACAAGTAATTTGTTGCATTCTCCCTAATCACAATTATATTTTTTGGTTATAGGTTCAATTACATGGTTATTTCAGACGACATACAAAAATTCATGCCAATGGAACAAGATTACAAGAATGGTCAACCTCTTGCTTACAGAGAAGCCATTATGTGGACAAATAGTTCTGATCCAACGTCAAAAACTGCGGTATATATACTGTTGTTGGTATATACAATATACAAATTTTTATACAACCTCCATTAATTGTTGTGTGCAACTTTGGGGTATTATTTATGATAAAAAAATTCCAAAGTTGCATATAACACTTAACGGAGGTAGTATGATTTTGAGAATTATGGTTAATTAATATCTTATCTAATTAATCAGGTCGAGGACAAATATCAGTACTCACAAGACATGAAAGATCAACAAGTACATGGATGGATATCCTCTGGCGAATTTCCGGTTGGATTTTGGCTCATCAAAGCGAGTACTGAGTTTTATTCAGCTGGTCCTTTCAAGCAAGAGCTTACTTCTCATATGGGTCCAATTAGCCTTATTGTATGAACACAAATCTTTCTACGTAATAACGAACAAAAATACAAAGTTTATGATATTATTAACTTGGGTTATTAACTAATTGTTGATTATTTTCAGGACTTTTTCAGTGGACATTATGCTGGCCAAAATTTCCTATTATCAGTTCAGGATGGAGAACGTTGGCAAAAGGTTATCGGCCCTTATTTTGTTTACTTGAACAAAGCATCTACCTTGAATGATCCTTTTGCACAACTTTGGAGCGATGCAAAACAACAGGTAATACAAAAAGTTCCTAAAACTTTATAATTCGCATTTATGAGTAATTTATGGAAAAATTTCCTAACAAAATTTATGCATCAGTTGCAAAAAGAAATTGAGAAATGGCCCTATGAATTTCCATCCTCCGATATATATGCAAAAGCTAATCAACGAGGATCTGTTGGAGGTCAATTGCTCATTCGTGATAGGTAAGTAATGTTTTTGTTGTCACTTTCTTCTAAAATCATACTCCGTACTTAGTATAGGCTAACTTATCATCATATATGGTTGTAGATATTTGAGTAATGAATTGATACCAGCAAGTTCTGCTTGGGTGGGATTAGCCGCGCCTGGTGAAGAGGGTTCATGGCAAACGGAAACAAAGGTAAGAAAAATCGAAACACCATTGTTCTTTACTGTGTAATGTGTGTATTACTCTGATCTTTTTCATTTAATGAACTTCTTTTGGATGATGATATAACAGGGCTATCAGTTTTGGACTAAGGCGGATAATGATGGAAATTTTATTATTAAAGGAGTTCATGAAGGGGAATACAGTCTCTTTGCATGGGTTCCTGGTTTCTTAGGAGAATATAAACATAATTCAAACATTTTAGTTCATCCAGGTTTGATTTCTTCCTACACTAAGTCTGTATTTGTATTACTATTGTATGATCAAAACTTAAGCTCGAGTTTAATAAGTTCATAACAAACCTACAACAGAATGTTTATTATTGATTTGTTATGTTAATGTATAGGCGAACAAATCAATTTGAACGAGGTTGTGTATGAGCCACCACGAAATGGACCAACGCTTTGGGAAATAGGGATACCTGATCGTACAGCAGCAGAGTTTTTTGTGCCTGACCCAAGTCCTGAATACATAAATCCTGCTCTCCTCAGCAATGAGAAGAATAAGTATATATAACATCTACTAATATTGGAGAAAATCCAAGTTTATCAATATGATAAACAAAATTTGTTTATCAAATGGCAAAATTGTAAATAAATCAACAACTTTTTAGTAAATTTGGGTCCCACTATTGTTGATATATTTACGAAAATGCCATGATGACTGGGCATTTATGTTGTTTTATTTATCATTTTGCCATTTGATAAACAAATTTTGTTTATCAAATTGATTAACTGGGGCTTCCTCCTAATATTGCTTATACTATCATGCTAGATACTTTTAAAATAGTTGTACTAATTTTAAAGTGAAATTTAAACAATAACAGGTACAGACAATATGGTTTATGGGACAGATACATCGATCTATACCCCGACAATGACCTGGTTTACACGGTTGGTGTTAGCAATTATACAAAAGATTGGTTCTTTGCTCATGTACAAAGGTAATAATCTTGTACTTTTGCACGTTATTAATGTTTAATTAAGAATTTACGGGTGTGGCAATCTTGATTCATATATTACAATACAGGCGAACAGAGAATAAGGATTTACAACCAGCAACATGGCAGATTCAATTCCCACTTAACAATGTAAACCCTTATGGCAGTTATACATTAAGAATATCATTAGCATCAGCAAGTGCTGCTCAACTTCGAGTAAGTATGATTAGTCTGACAGTCCTCAGACATAACAAGTAAAGGAATGAATGATATTTTCTATGGAATGTTGTGTTTGATGTTGTGATCATTTGAATTTGCAGGTTCGATTCAATGTTGATCCTACATCCAGACCACACTTTACAACACGAAAGATGGGACTTGATAACGCCATTGCAAGGCATGGAATTCACGGCTTGTATTGGCAGCTCAGCTTTGATGTATCAGGCACATTGCTTCAGAATGGAATGAACACACTATACCTCACCCAATCGATTGCTAGTAGTCCTTTCTGTGGTGTTATGTATGATTATTTACGTTTAGAGGGTCCTAGTTCTTAGTTTAGTACAAAGTTTTGTGTATAAATAACGTTGATTTTATTTTCGCAGAGCCATCATTATTTGAACTCCTTTGTATAATGATAAATATATTTATTATACACACAATTAATTTACACAGTATCATTTTTACAGAGAAATTATGAATTTCTTCTGTTTTCATGTACGTTCACAATAAAGCTGAATCTAGGAAACATATATGATTTTTGAAAAATTAGGACTTAAAAACTTGTAAACTTAAAAGCCAGAAATAGTGATAAACGCCACTATGAATTGATATTATTAAAACTATCAATTTAGGGCTAAAGCCTAAAGGATGTATTTATATTAGGTGACAAGTTTAGTTCACCAATGTTATCATCTTACATCTTCCTAGTCAAAATGCCGCGACTAATTTAGGCTCTTTTTAGGAGATGAAGCTGTGTGTTGAAATTGCAATGTCCTACTATCTAACTATGAAGAACAACTTAAAGTTCTTGCAACAATTTCCTAGGAGACGCCGAGGGTCCTTCTAATCGTATGTAGTCATACATAACTCCGCGGAACATTTCCTTGTTCCTGGACTGAGTCAGAAAAATTGTATTGTCTCCAGTCTTAAGAGAGTCAGTCTTTATGCCTATGCTATATAACCGATAGATTCCGTGTATTCCATGCCTTGCAATCGCGTTATCCCTGCCTATAAGCAGTGTTGTAAAAACAGGACGGGACTTCACGTCTGGGTTGTTCACTCTAACCTGAAAAAAACACCACAATATTTATGTTACACTTTGTGGTAAAACATGTACATATCAAAAGTTTGTTGATTATATGAACCATGTTTCTCACCTGTAATTCAGATAGAGTTGCACCTGCAAGCGCAATGTGTAGTGTATAGTTACCACTAGGCACCACTTCTTTTAAGGGGAATACAATTTGCCATGTAGCTGGTTCATAAATTTGTCCTACCCTCCTACAATACGAACTTTCACCTCAGTAAAGCCGACAAATAGAAAAGAAAAACATGTAGTCTTAGAGGTTATAGCAAGATGTATGAATCATGAAATACCTGAGTACATGAGCAAAAAACCAGTGCTTTTGATAGTCACTGACACCAACAGTGTAAACAAGATCTTGCTTCGGGTAAAGATCAGTGTATCGATCCCACAGACCATATTGTCTGTACCTGTTAATATAACAGAACTGACTGTCAGTATAACAATCCTTAGTTGTACAAAGAAATGGAAAGAGGAGTGTGGAAAAACTAACTTGTTTTCGTTATCGTGTAAAAACAATGGGTTGGTGAGGTCTGGTCTAGGGTCAGGGACAAAGAATTCTGCTGCAGACCGGTCAGGGATTCCGATTTCCCACAATGTCTGTCCGCTTCGTGGAGGTGTAAAAACTTGATCAGCCAAGCTGACTTGTTTCCCTGAAAAATAAGCAGTCATAGAGTAACATAACATGAGAAATTGACATTTTGATTTGTCAGTTAGAATGAGCATTTCAGGCCATCAGAGTCAATACCTGGAGCAACAGTGACAATTGATGCAGATTTATAGTCCCCTATGAATCCTGGAACAAATGCATATAGATTATAAGTACCAGGATGAACATTTTTTATCAAGAACTTTCCATCGCGGTCAGTCTGAATCCAGAACTGATAACCCTGCAGCAGTAACAGAAAATTAGTTCTCTGTTTCACATTATATGGTTTTACCTTAAACCAGTCATACACAATTGTTATTTCTTTCTTACTTTCATTTCATATTGCCACGAGCCTGCGTCACCAGGTAGAGCCAAACCAACCCACCCAACATTTGCTGGTGTAGCTTTTGCTCTATGATACATAAAATGAAAAAATTATCACCTTAAGAACATATATAAACTTTGCTGAATTTCAAGTTTAGGGGTTATTATGTAAAAAGATTTAAGGAAATACCCATCATTGACGAGCAATCTTCCTGCGACAGATCCACGTTGATTAGCCTTAGGAAAATCTAATGACATTGGGAATTCATAAGGCCAACTCGCAGTTTCTTTGAGCATCTGAAACAATCAAAAGTTGCAGGGGCATATGACATATGAAACTGATTAATTAATAAAGTTCGCTTCCATAAGAATGTGAATTAAAGCCATATGCTAATTTTTAAATACCTGATCTTTAGCATGTTGCCATAGCATATTAGGATCTCCTTTCCCAGGTAGGGAATTTAAGTGCACAAAGTACGGTCCAAATACCTTTTTCCATGGCTCACCGTCCTTGAACTTCATTATCAGATCGGGACCAGCATAATGAGTACTATGAAACATCTGTCAAATATGATAGTAGCAAATTATATCCTGCTTTCACAAAAAGCAGTAAATAAATATATATATATATATATATATATATATATATATATATATATATATATATATATATATATGTAAATATAAATATATATATATATATATATATATATATATATATATACTAGATAATGGTTGTAAATTCTAGCTTGAGCACGTACAGCAAGCATGGTTGGACCAACATGAGATGTAAGGTCTTGTTTAAGAGGACCTCCCATTCGGAATTCATCAGTTGGTGTGATCATCCACATTCCAATTCCATGATCAGTGCTAATCCACCCATGTACCTTGTTATCTTTGTCATCACAAGCATATTGGTACTTATCGTCAACCTAATCCAAAATTGGAGTAAAAAACAAGGTCATTAGGAAGAACAATCCCGTTTTCCTTCCAACCAAACAGTTCATTCCTAAGAGAAACCTCATAAGCTAAGACATATTATACAAAGAACTTAGATTATTTCTAGCTTAAACAGGCTTGAGTATACCTGTCCTTTGATCTTAGGATTGGTTGGTCTTGTCAAGAGAACAGCTTCTTTATAGGCTAAAGGTTGTCCGGTCTCACGGTCTTGTAGCATTGGCATTAACCTTTGTAGCTTATCCGAAACAGCCATGTAACGGAACCTAACAAAAAAGTTGATGTCACCTCAATAAAATATAACAGTTACATTAAAATTATTGTATACAAGGTAAAGAAGTTTATATATATACTTGTCAGGTTGAAGCTTGTAAACAGTCCTGATCTGATCCACATTCAAAGGCGGCGATCCCTTTTGACGCTCAAAAATGGCATAAGCATAGAACCCTGAGCTACCTTGTAGCATCACATACCTACATAATCAACAATCAAATAATTTTTAATTAGCCTCGACTATCATTAAATTGCTTCTTACTCTTGTTTATATATACATCAAAAATCTGTTAAGATACAATACCTAATATCTGCTTGTAGTGGAAGTGATTTAGTCTGCTGACACACAAATGAAATTTCTGCCTTATCCGGAGTTTGGCTAATGATTTTGAAACTGCCTCCTACAACACTGCAAATCAAAGTAACTAGTTAGATCATTGCATAAGTGCATTAATTTAATACATATAAATGATCCATATATAAGTTTGTGTATGTTAAATTTTTAGATTGAACTCGCAAATTGTTTCTCCATGTGAAATAATTTAACTGATTTGAACATAGCTCTGCCCATGCTCGAATGGTAGCCAAATTTACCTTATTTCATCTGGGTCATCATTGTCTGGGTTACTGGCTGATGCTATATCCCAGTACCTGTACAGATTAACCATGACTTAGAAGACTATACATTATTTCACCCACAATCCAAAATACTAGTTTTGTTAGCAAATTTCTGTGAAATAGTTGTATCAAAATATTTCTTTACAATGTCTAACAAGATCAGCTTAATATCACTATTTGGGTACTGTAAGAGTGAGTGATAAACAAATCTCAATTAATCACATTATAAGAAGTAGTATGTATACCCTCTATCAGATATCCTGTTAGTGACATCAAGTATATTGTCTAGGCCATTAAATCGGATCCCAGTAACGTATCCCTCCGGAACAGAAAAGGTGACTTGAACTATGCCATTGTCCAACACAACCTACAATAAAATGTTGCAGTTGAATCATAATCTTAATTTACATGTAATTAATATTAGGAATAACATTATTGATGTCTAGCCCAATAATTTTTTTTTTTTTTTTTTTTTGGACAAACAAATTTAAAATGTTTATGCAAGAATTGCAGTGGATTTGTAATAGCTAATCTGTTTTTTTCAAAAAGAAAATAAAATTGAGCTTATTTTGAAAATATTGATATGCAATTATGCATCCAAGCAATACAATTTTACTCAAAATACCTTACAAAAATAATTAGAATTTATTATATACACTTGAGTGTACTGTACACCCAACTAACCCAATATTAGTGTTTGCTTTTCATTTGATGATTAAATTAAAAACAATCATCAAATGAGAATAAAATACTCATGAGTGTATGATAACCCGTGTGTATATAACAAGTTCTCCAAATATAGTACTTGTATTTAGTGTAGTTCAAAACTCTTGAGTTCATTACTTGGGCCAAGCCCATTTGCTTCACGGCCTCAAATTTTGGTCTAAAATGCAGTTTGGCTTGTGGGTCTAATATATACTTTGCCTACTTAGTGTATTAAAATCGAGCACTTAATTCTCTTTCAATTACGTAGTATTATTAAAAGTGCATCACTTTTCTACGTAGTATATCGGTTTAATAAAATGAGGGTGTGAGAAATACTCGTACCTGATTGGCTGTTGCATTGACCCGTACATCAGTGGCTTGCCCCGGATTTGGGTTGGGTACGGGTGCCTCTACTTTTGATTTTCCCTCTCCACTGCAATTTAGTTTATTTTTTTAGCTAGGTTAAACCCCGTGCAAATGCACGGTTGTTGAATAATTATGATAATAATATAATTACATAAAAATTAATGAATCGATTCATCAGGTATTAAAGTGCATGAAATATAATAAAACAATTAAAACATGTGAGAGAAAATATTTATAGTTATAATATGCAAGTTGATATTTTAGAAAGTTTATTTTAAAATTTATATAAAAAAAAAGTCATAATCTAAATGCAATCTTTATTTTTATATAATAACAATTTTTTTAGAAAGTAATTTTGGCGGGAATTTTTTTAATAATATGTTGTCAAGTGTTTCTTCATATTCGCTTTTAGTAGTATG